GACCCTAATTCAAAAATAGGTATTCAGATACATTTTTAAAAATCCCTGTCCTAGCTGGGTGTGGTGGCCCACGGCTACAATTCCAGCACTCTGAAGGCAGAGGCAAGAGGACTGCCTGAGCCCAGGGGTCTGAGACCCGCCTGGGCAACTTGGTGAGACCTCATCTCCACAATAAATAAAAAATATTAGCCAGGCATGGTAGTGCACGCCTGTAGTTCCAGCTACTTGGAAGGCTGAGGTGGAAGGATCACCGGAGCCCAGCAAGTCAAGACTACGGTGGCCGTGAGCATGCCACTGTACTTTAGCCTGGGCAACAATGAGACTCCAACTCAAAAAAAGAAGTCTCTGTCCTTGAAGAAATTTGCATGCAGGAAGAAAATGCCACAGATATTCTTAAGCCGAAATGAATGAGAAGCATTCTATCATATAAGCACATTCAAGAATGGCACCACTTAGAATAGGTGTAGGGCTATTGTCAAGACACAAGAGTTATACCAATAAGCTATTAGAATAAATTTCCATGACAACAGAAATGTTTATCCCAGATCATCTTTCCAGAGAGGAAGCAAGTCCATCCCCCACAGAGACAACAGATGCTAAGGGTTGGAATCGGGTCCAGGCTTTGAAAACTAACCCTGGCTGTCACGGGTACTATCAAGTACCCTCCCATTGGGCATCCATGTGCCTTCTCTTTGCCAAGCATTCCCACCATGCCTTTCCCTGCCAGCATTATGTACACACCTGGGGACTGTTTCCCTGTATCAAGCTGAAGACTCATCACATGGAAAAAATGTGCCCATGTAAGAATCTGGAACATGCCAGGTGCCTTACCCTAGAAAAGACCCATCACATTTAGAAATGTGCCAGCTTCATCTTCAATGAAAGAAAAGTAAAACAAACTGCCATCTAGCAAACTCATTTCCCTGAATGTTTTTCTCATCTTAATGCAAAACACAAAAAACTTTTTTCTCCCTTTGTTAAGAAAAAAATTCCTATAGACTATTTTGTAACTGGAATATTCCAAAGAATGCTTTCAAAAAGTACATTTCGCATAGCTCAGTCATGGAAAGAATAAAGCACCCAGTTGGCAGCGGTAGATAAAATAACTTCTCCAGGTTATAAAGAGGTTTAATGATAAGCTATGCACTAGCATGCCAGTGGTGGCTTCTTACAGAGGCTGTTGCCCACTGGTTTTTGGGAACTCAATGTGTGCTAATCCTTCCGGGGAACAGAGTTCTAATTTCGATTCTGTTCATCACAAGAATAGTCAGGACATGACAACTAGATTGATAACAGGTGGGTGATCATTTGTTCACTTTAATGTGTTGAGTTTTTCCAGATAAGGTTTTTATAATCAGTACCAGTACTAAACTCTAAGTCATTACTAATCACTACCTTGGCTATACCATTACTCTGGCATCAAAAACAACATTTAAAAGGCAGCAAAAGGGAGCAACTTCCCAAGATATACTCTAAGAATAATACAAGTAAGTCATCCCTCAGTCTCCATGGGAAATTGGTGTGTGTGTGTGTGTGTGTGTGTGTGTGTGTGTATGTATGTGTGTGTTGGAGTCTCACTCTGTCGCCCAGGCTGGAGTGCAGTGGCATGCTCATGGCCACCACAGTCTTGATCTACTGGACTAAAGCGACCCTTCTGCCTCAGCACCCCCCCAAGAGCAAAATCCACAGATGCTCAAGTCCTTCATATAAAAGGGGGTGGTAGCCAGGCACAGTGGCTCACGCCTATAATCCCAGCACTTTGGAAGGCCAAGGTGAGAGGATTGCCTGAGCTCACGGGTTCAAGACCAGCCTCGGCAACTTGGTGAGAATTCATCTCTACTATAAATCAAAAAAAATTAGCTGGGCATGGTGGTGCATGTCTGTAGTTCCAGCTACTTGGAAGGTTGAGGCAGAAGGATCACCTGAACCCAGCAGGTCGAGGATGCAGTGGCCGTAAGTGTGTCACTCCACTCCAGCCTGGGCAACAAAGTGAGATTCCAACTCAAAAAAATAAATAAATAAAATGGAGTGGTATTTGTATATAACCTGTACAAAGCTTCCTGCACACTTTAAATCATATCTAAATTACTTACGTAAGTTGTTATACTATATTCTTTGTGTGTGTGTGTGTGTGTGTGTGTGTGTGTGTGTGTGTATGTGTTGGTCTCACTCTGTTGCTCAGGTTGGAGTGCAGTGGCACGCTCATGGCCACTACAGTCTCAACTTACTGGGCTCAGGTGATCCGTCTGCCTCAGCCTTCCAAGTAGTGGAACTACAGGCATGTACCACCATGACCAGCTAATTTTTTGATTTATTATAGAGACAAGGTCTCGCCAAATAGCCCAGGCTGGTCGCAAACACCTGGGCTCAGACAATCCTCTTGCCTCTGCCTCCCAAAGGGCTGGGATTACAGACGTGAGCCACCACACCCAGTTATATTCTTTTTTATTTGTTATACTGTCACTTTTTTTTTCCCCAAATATTTTCAATCCAGTTCGTTGAATCAGCCATTGTGGAACTAGAGGATATGGCAAGCCAAGTATACATTTTAGTCATAAAATTGGATTAATGTATTCCATTTATGCCACTCATGTGCCTCTCTGAAACTATGAAAGAAACTCCTCTGTGCTTTTTATTTTTTTTTTTATTTTTTTTGAGTTGGGACTGCACTCTGTGGCTCAGGCTAGAGAGCAATGGCATGATGACAACAATCACATCTTATGGCAGCCTCAACCTCCTGGGCTCAAGTGATCCTTCCAACTCAGCACCCCAAGTAGCTGAGACTACAGGCACATGTCACCATGCCTGGCTAATTTTTTTGATTTTTTAGAGATGAGGTCTCGCTATGTTGCCCAGACTGGTCACAAATCTATGCTATTTTTTAATATGTCAGAAAAGTACTCATAAACTGGCTACTGTGGACTCATTGCTATTTTAAATAATATAGAAAATCTTTTTTAAAATTTCCATCGATCTCCGACCTTACAGTCTCACTGATGAGGCAATTCAGTCACTCAACAAACAGGTATCTTAGCCCTCACTGTGTGCCAGGCAAAAGGGTAGTGACTCAAAAGACAAACACAAACACCTGTTGGGAAGTCACAATCTAATGACAGACCCAGAAACATACAACGAATAAGAGAGAGCAGTAGGGATTTTGGAGAGGCATGGACAAGTGTTGAGGGGGCCCGCACCCATGAGACAACGAAGCTAAATTCTGTGGGGCAGATAACACAGTTCCTTAAAAGTTCATTTCCCCACAAGTGTCATCAGTTCCCACGGAAAGGAGTGTGCCTTCCTTCCATGCAGGGATTTAGGCCATGGCTAAATGACCATCTGTCAGAGATGCTGGGGGTGGGGATTGCCCCAAGTGAGAGGTTGGATTAAGTGTCCTTTAAAGCCCCTTCCAACTCTCACATTGTATAATTCCATGAGATCAGCCAAGCTAAAACAGTAATAGGAAGCTTCAGAGAGGAAGGGAAACTTGAACCAAGCCCATAATGATAGCTGGGACCTAAAGAAATGAAAGACAAAACAGAAGACCCTTCACTGGGGTCCTTTCCACTAAATGTGTGCTGGGTTAGTCTGCAAAGTACAAGGGGGTTAATGGCTGGAACAGACAGTAACATTTCTGTATCTTCTAACCATGGGGAAAAACTCCGAATCTTACATTTTACTGGAAAATAAGAGTAGCAGGCTTTTCTTTTTAATTATTTTCTATTTCAATAGCTTTGGGAGGTACGCAGAGCTTTGGTCTGGCTCTAAGTGCACTCCTCACTCCTACCTGTGCACGCTGCTACCCAAGAGGTGATTTTTTTGTCCCTCTCCCCCATCCCTCCTCCCCCTTCTGAATTTCTGAATCACATATTTAAGAAAATCATTTTAACGAAACATTAACAATACTACGTAGCTGGGCACAGTGGCTCACACATGTAATCCCAGCACTGGGGAAAGCAGAGGCAAGTGGATTATCCAAGTCCAGGGGTTCGAGACCAGCCTGGGCAACTTGGCAAGACCTCGTCTCTACAATAAATCAAGAAAAATTAGCCAGGTATGGTGGCACACACCAGTAGTTCTGGCTACTTGGAAGGCTTAGGTGGAAGGATCACCTGAGCCCAGCAGATCGAGGCTGCAGTGACCATGAGCATGCCATGGCACTCCAGCCTGAGCAACGGAGTGAGACTCGAACTTGAAAAGAAAATACTATTTAAAATACTGACAGACCTACTTCATTATACTCCCAATAATCATTCAATTACACTTCATGAAATACAGAACATGCCAAAAGACCTAGCAAGTCTTTAGGTAGTTATTTGGTAAGGAACTTAAGCAGCCTGACCTTGACACTTACATAATCAGGCTACATTTCCTACCAACTCTAAATAAACTTAACACTGTGATTTTCGACTTCAAACAACTCTCTGCCTTTCTCCAGTCCCCTAGCTGTCCTATTACTTGTGCTCACATGTCTTACTTGGGGTATCTTCACTTTACAATACCAGAACATACACAGAAGCCCCAAGCAGGTAAGTTATCCAAGAACGTATTAAAAAGTCAAGAACTAAAATGTCTTTTAAAGGCTCCCCAATATTTACGGGAATACACAGTCTTCTGGCTACAGGTCATGTCCAGCAGGTCACTCAGTTCATTAGAAAGTGAACTCCATGATGACACTCAAATATCCTCAATACATGAAATCATGGGCTAGCCTTCTTCCTCAGCGTTCTCAGCCCATCAGAATGCTGATGGAAACTTAGCTAAACATACAAAAGTGAGTGTGTGCTAAGGAGGAACTGGAGGAATGTAGAGACAGCACTGGCACCAAGGGGACAGGGAGGGGACAGCACTGGCAAGGGGACAGCACTGGCACCAAGATGGCAGGAGAAGCCACTACAACTGCAATACACTCCCCTGGATTTGTGTCAAACAGAAATGCTCCTGTTTTAGTTCCATTATCAGCATTGATCATTCTGAAACTATCGGTTCAATTCCGAGCTTACCCCTTTTTCTGAGAGGTTCAGAGTAAGCAAATGCAAGGTCCTCGTGTGAGATGACTTCCAATCCACAGGCATAACGTTGCCATAGTTGTCTGTCAGGGCATTCCAAATCCTTAAGAAGAAGAAAACCACCATCAATGAAAGTTCACAGTGTATGTCTTTAGTTAAACATTCAGTGAAAGAAGGCCACCAAATAGAAAGCAGAAAAATAGCAGACACTGGTTCTCAGAAAAACATCAACAAAGCAGTCTCCTAAATAAGACTAAGTGAAAATCCTATCACTGGGCTCTCAAGTCCAATGGGAAAGTGAAATAGTACAGAAAACTCTCCCAAAGTCAACAGCTAATGCTTCCATGGTGCAATATGTCAGGCACTATTCTCAGCAATGTATGGATATTAACTCATTTCATCCTTAAAAACAACATCAGAAACAGCAACCACCATTATACACACATTACAGATGAACAGACCTTAGTCATGTGTCCAGGGCCACATGGGTGGCACATACACTGTGCGTTACACTTCTTAGTCTTCTGAAACTTTCAAACGCATAGACCATTTCAAAACGTGAATATGCTCTCTCTAACCAAAAGTCTGTTATCTTTTCTGAAGAAAGGATTCAGTCTCAATGCGAGACCAGGATTTTATATCTAATTGATAATGAGGCTAAAGATTAAGGCAGTTGGAGGGAAAGAAGGCATTCACAGGCAAATGCACATGGTTCCATCCCATGCAGTTACCTTTATTATCAAGCAGCACAGAGGGCAGGGAGCAGGGTAAAATGGAAAGGGCTCCTAGGATTCTGGAAACAAAAGCTCATCTCCATTCTTGCTCAAACAATGAGTCTCTAGCCAAGTCCCTTAGCCTCTCTAGCTATCAGCCGCCCTTCTACAAAATGAAAGGCTTGGACTAGAAGCAGACATTCCGTTCAGCACCATTACTCTAAGCGTTCATTCAAATGGGCTGTACTAACCAGGCTCGGTGGCTCACATTTGTAATGCTAGTTAGCATTTTGGGAGGCTGAGGCAGAAGGACTGCCTAAGCCAAGGAGTTTGAAACCAGCTTAGGCAACACAGCGAGACTTTGTCTCTACAGAAAATCAAGAAATTAGCAGGGTGTGGTGGCGTGTGTCTGTAGTTCCAGCTACTCAGGAGGCTGAGGCAGAAGAATCACCTAAGTCCAGGAGGTCGAGGCTGCGGTAGGCCGTGATCATGCACTCCAGCATGGGCAAAAGAGTGAGACTCCAAAAAACAAAAACAAACAAGAAAATCAAATGAGTTGTATTGAGGGAAGTCTGAAACCATGCTAGATAAGAAGAGCAAACTCGGCAGGACACAGTGGCTCAAGCCTGTAATCCCAGCACTTTGGGAGGCCCAGGCGAGAGGATTGCCTGAGCCCAGAGGATTGCCTGAGCCCAGGGGTTTGAGACCAGCCTGGAAAACTTGGCGAGACCGCGTCTCTACAATAAATCAAAAAATTAGCCAGGCATGGTAGCGTGCGCCTTTAGTTCCAGCTAACTTGGAAGGCTGAAGCAGAGAATCACCTGAGCCCAGCAGGTCAAGGCTGTGGTGGCGGTGAGCGTGCCACTGCACTCCAGCCTGGGCGACAGAGTGAGACTACAAAAAAAAAGAAAGAAACTCAAATTTCATGGTCAAAATTCAAGTTTCAGTACAAAAGTAATCATCAGAATAAGGCATGATGTTTATGAAAAAATAAAGTTCAGAAATACAAATGAGATGAAATTTAACTGGCGTACGTAAAGCTAAACACTACACATGTGAGCTGCTTACTGGCTAAAGATATACACAAAAATGTCCTAAGGAGAAAAAAAAAAAACCCTGCTTGTGATCCCAGCACTTTGGGAGGCCAAGGTGGGAAGACTACTTGAGCCCAGGGGTTTGAGAGTAGCCTGGGCAACACAGTAAGACCTCATCTCTAAAAAAAAAAATCAAAAAAAATTAGCAGGGCATATTGGTGTGCACCTGTAGTCCCAGCTACTTGGGAGGCTCACTTGAGCCCAGGAGTGAGGCTGTGGTGAGCTGTGATTATGACACGGCCCTCCAGTCTAGGTGACGAAAAGATTTTAACCTTGAACAACAGCAACAACAAAAAGGTAATCTAATCACGAATAAGTCATTAAATGATTGGGCATACTTTCTTTCCAAGTGAGCCATTAGGATACAAAAACAATCCTAGTAGGGGCTGAAACGTAAGAATGAAAGTTTAAAAATAGAGATGCTACATACTTGATTTAATAGGGATCTGGTGCAATAGGCCTGCAACTTCCAAAAGCAAGCATCCCCAATAATGCTGGTTTTAAAATGCACATTAGCCTCCATGAAATGTGAACCCAGAAGTGCCAGAAAACTAGGTCGTTTACCCAGCAAAGCTCCCACATACAAGGTACGTTCCTATTCTCCTCTCCACTAGAATCATTTCTCCACTAATGCCAATGAGCCAGAATTAGAGGCGATGCCTGTGGATTGCAAAATCTGCTGGGTTTCCGGTCCAAATCTTCATGGGTAAAAATTTTCAAATACTGAACAACTGACTATATACCTAACCATGGTCAAGGACTTAAGTAAGGTAATCTATTCGGCAAAAACAGTTCAGAGTTTGGGGGGTTGTTTCACCTGCTTATTGGCTCTTTCTTACACGAGGCTATCAGAAAAGGACAGATGGCTTGGAACACTTCACCTAGAAGAGGTGACAGAGGGTGAGTTTGCTCTGCCAAGAAAGTGAAGGTCAATTAACATGCCTCTACCTCCATGAAAGGCAGAACAATTGTAGCTGGGAGGATGGAAGGCCAACTTTAGTGAAAGGTTTCTAGAATTCTGCAATCAAGACACAGGATCGGCCTTTTTCCTTATCAGAAAGTATTACAACCAGTCATAAATAAACAACTGGCAGGATAGTTCTTCTTGCAAGGAGGTCAAAGTTCGGTCAACATTGAATCCTGCATGATACCCTTCTAACATAAAACCTCAGCAGGTAAGTCTAATCGGTTTTTACCCAAAAGTAAAACTGAAGCTCAGAGAAGTTAAATAAAGTACCCTGAAAAAACGGCAACTCTCAGCCGGGCTTGGTGGCTCAGCCTGTAATCCCAACACTTTGGGAGGCCCAGGTGAGTGAATTGCCTGAGTCCACGGGTTCGAGATCAGCCCGGACAACTTGGCAAGATCTTGTCTCTACAATGAATCAAAAAAAATGTAGCTGGGCATAGTAGCATGTGCCTATAGTTCCGGCTACTTGGAAGGCTCAGGTGGAAGAATCGCTGGAGCCCAGCAGGTCAACGCTGGGGTGGCTGTGAGTGTGCAACTGCACTCCAGCCTGGACAAGAGTGAGACACCAACTCAAAAAAAAAAAAAAGCATGTGACCAACCCCCAGATCCTGAAAAGAGAGAGACTTGTATCCCCAAGTCAAGACACGCATTACCCCCAACATATCATCTCCGAAATCCCTTTATCAAGAGTAACAAAATATTTTTTAAGCAAAGGCTAAAATAAACTACTTTCCAAGCAGTCCAAGCAAAAGCAAAAACAGAGAACCTCAACTATCTATGCACAATCCACTTATCTGTTTCAAGTAAGATACTCTTGAAGAACCCCAATACATAATAAGTATACAGCAATTTTGCAATCCAGAATGTGTCCTGGGTTGAGTGACTCAGAGTCTATACATCTACATATACATAAAATCATCTGCTCTTTGAGAACAGTCCTTCAAAGATGTCATCTTTTGCTACTGACTGCATGCATATGTGTATATAAAATTCAGCCATAAATGTTTCCATCCTCTACACCTGGGCAGAATACCATACAGGAGTAACAAGGAAAAGCGCTGGTCCCCAAACACAGCACCACTGCTCAGTCATGTTTGCAGACCCCCATTCCCAAATCCCTCTTTTCAAGCTTCGGACCTTATTCCTGATCAATGTGATTAACGGAGGAAAGGAGACCATCAGGCCTGAGTCCCTTTCCATGTTCATGGCTCCTTGTCTATCCCCAAAAAATTCTTCCCTAACCTCCATCTCTCCCTCTCATCCATGCCTGAAAACCCATCTCTTCCCACATCCTCAGTGTGTGCTCCAAAGAGTTTACCTCCAGCCTCTTCAGGGGTTCCTCTCCCCCCTGCAAACACTACTCGTTCACTCTCACCATTCCTTTTGCCCTCTCTCCGGGGTAAAACCGTGGTACATCATCACCACCCTTATTTAACCAAGTTATAATTGGGGCTCAGGGTATCTTTTTAAAAAGTGCCCTCGGGAACTCCGCACCTCTCTTTCCCCAACCTCCATCAATCCCTGTGAATTTCTAGTCATTGCACGTAGGTGATTCTGAAGTTATCATTTGTACTTGCACGGGTCTCCCCACCAGACCATGGGACCCTTGCCATTAATAACCAGAAGCCTTCCTTTTCGCCTGTGGCGGCCTGGCAATCTACCTGGGCTCTCGGATGGGCCCCATGGATTCTGGTGCCATAAACGCTGCCTCGCATGTTGGTGCTTTTGCATAGACTACAATACAACATCCTCGACCTGGAATGCTCGACCTGCCAGGAAGACTGCCACTCACCCCTTGGAATCTAGTCTGCACATTTCTTTCTCTGGGATGTCTTTCCTGACTCTCCCTAAACACGCGCTTTTAAATCTCCCACGTTTGGCCCATATGCCCATGGGAGCACTTAGTGCACCCGCACAAACATCGGTTTACAAATCTATCCCCCGTCCTGCGTGGTGGAGGGGTCGTGTCTGCTCATTTCGGCGTTCCCAGGGCTAAGCAGGCGCTTAAAAAATTCGAGTTGGATGAATGAAAGGCTACCCACGTGCCCCAGGAGGCTCGGTCTCCAACTACGTGCTCGGTGCGGGAGATTCCCCAGCAAACCAATCCAGGAGGAGGGGAGGGAGGGGCGGTGGCGGAGGCTTTAAGGGGTCAGGGGATTTAAATCGCCGGC